TGTCCGGGGCAACCACTCCATCCCGCCACCTCCCACCCCCACCCCCGCCCGCAGGAAAACGAAGAGGACCTGGGTGGGTGGAAAAATGAGGGGGGGCGACGAAGTGCGAGGGCGCAAGGGAGGAGATGGGAGCACAGTACCTCAGGCTCCCCAGACCAGAGGATAGGAGCTCCAGGTGCCCCAAGATAAAAGTCTCTGTGCTTGGGGGTGAGGGGCAGGTACTCAGCTTAGAGACCAAGGAGAATTCAGTTTCCTAAGGCTCCCCCCGGGATGGATGGGGGTTGCAATCTACCCTCCTTCAGACCCATTACCAGTCATTCCTCTTCCCTTTACTCCCTGAGCCAAAATAACACTCACACTTGATGGTCCAAGGGATTTCCCCCCACCCCCGTCCCCTGCCTGTCTTACCTGGGGGACGCTTTTTTGCACACAGTGCCATCTCACCCAGCAAAGTCCCAGCAATCCCATGGGAGACCCTGCAGGAAGGTGACATATGCGTGAGGTCAGGAAGCTGAGGGTAACCCTTCATTCCCCTTTTCAGACTCCTGCAGAAGGTCTTCTTCCCCAGTTCTGACCTTGCCCCTCCCCCAGCAATCCCCACTAACTGCACACCAACACTCTACTCTTACTTCCCTGATGGCTCCCTGAAAAAGAAGACGGGACTTCCCCACCACCTCCCGTAGTGCCCCTTCGGAGCCACCTTGGATAACATGGGGAGACTGACAGTTTATAATAACCAAGACCTGCAGGGAAAGGAAGGGGGCAGAGATGAGGCCAGATATTGACAGGAGGGGCGCAGCTCTCAAGGTACCCATCCCAGGGACAATGGATGCCCCCATGTGCCCTCCTGGTGGCAATGTGTTGGTGCCTGTGTTTACTGGAAAGCAGAATTTCCACCAAAGGGTGGGAACGTGAGTCAGGAAACACCTGGCAGAGCATCAGGAAACAGGGTGGGCAGGCTCCACCCTTCTCAAAAAGCTTATAACCTTCCCATCCCCCCACCCCATTACTGGGGCTTCCAGTATCACCTCCTCCAGGGGAGCTCACATTAGAAGCATGGCCTTCACTTCCTGCACACAGTCCCCAAACCACTTCCTCTCAGTCTGGGTCAGCCATCCTTCTGGGCCAGCAGAGGGGTCTTCTCAACCCTGGTGGGGAGTCATTCCTCTCTCTGCCCCACCCCAAGCCTAGTCCAGCCAGTATGGTACTGAGTGCAAGCTCAGGGAGCATCAATCACAGAGGCCTCTACTTCTTTCCATCTCGCCATGTCCTTCCCTTCACCTAAAAAGGCAAAAGGCCTGGACTGCAAGACAGAGTCACAGAGCCTTATCCCTATTGCCCAGCCTGGCCCAAAGGAAGCTGCCAGCCAGGTCCTGGGTCCTTTAGTCACCTCCTCTTTTTTTGTCTGGGTGGAAAGTCTTCCTCCCCCTTGGTTCTCCTGTCTCCAGCCTACAGGGAACACCCCACCAGCCTGTCAGCCCCAAGAGATACTAATTGCCTGTCTGCCCAACCTCTATAATTACAGACTCTAGCCAAGGCCCTGTCACCCACACCAGGTCTTCGTTCTGGACTCCCTTCCTGAACACCAATCAGGCAATACTGAGAGCTAGAAGTCCTTTTCCTCTGTTACCCTCCACAACCCTGGCAACCAAGGGTGCCTGGCTCAGGAAGAAAAACCTCATCTATGTTTTAGAGATGCCAAGCCCTCCTCCACGGCCCCCAGCCAGGGTCTCCACCCAGTCTAGGGTATGAGTCATAGGAGGGTGGGGAATGGAGAGAGAGTAAAAGAGAGGATGCAAGGGTGGGCATCACAAGTTCCATAGCCAGCCCTGCCCTCGGCGAGGGAGGCGATCAAAGGAACTATCTGCTGAAAATCTGGGTTTGAGTCCTACGAAAGAGTTAAGGAGCCGCACAGGCTCTCAGGAGTCAGGAGTCTGGATTCCAACCAGGAAAGTTGTTTTACCTCTAAGACCCTGGGGAGACAGAAAGCTGGCTTGGCCCCAGACCTCATCCCCTCTGGGGGGCAATAATAGGGAAGGAGAGGGAAGGGGGGAGACCTGGGAACAGGGACACTCTCTCACTTCTCCTTCCCAGTCTCACAAGGCATGGGTTTTCTGAACCCAGGCCCATCAGCCACGTCGCTCTGCCCCGTCACCCTGCCCCAGCCCCCTCTGCAGCCACATTTGGGATAAAAATAGCCAGCTCTGGGAAGAAGGCAATGCTCCATGGAGAAAAACGGCTCCTCCTCTAAGCCTGGCCCCTGCCCTGTTCCAGCCCAAACCCAGGAAGACTGACTCCTCTGTCAGGGGAAGCTGGCAGGGATATTTGTGGGCAGGTCAGGGAAACAGAAAGGAATGGAATCCAAGACCCCCAGCTCACATGCCACCAATACCTGGCCACTTTCCATCGCCAAGGACAGAGCCCAAGACTTACCCAGGACCTCAGCTCTGAACTCCCAGACCTCCCACCTCTCCTTGCGCCCTTGCTTTTCCTCACGCACAGAGACCTCCACCTTACAGAGAAAAAGCCTCCCATCCCCGAACTCCCTTCTCCAGGCACCTAAACCCTCGGACGCCGGGTACTTCTCTCACCCCGACAACTCTCTGGGCAGTTCTCTCCTCTCTTCTGCTCCATGGGCTTCTCCTCGGCACTCCCGCGCCCCTTTCCTGGTCTCCACGCGCCCCTTCAGCACCCAACCCTCTCATTCTGCGGACGGCCTCCCGAATCTCCCCCACCCTCAGGCACCCAACACCCTCCTCTCCAATCATCCACTCCCCCTCCTCCGTCTCACCAGAGCTCCGACTCCCTATCCCCTGTGCTCTCCTGCCCACACCTCCTCACCTCCAGCCCCTCGGTCCCCGTCCGCAGCCCC